CCTTACAATATAAAGCACCTTGAGGCGACTGTTGTTGTGATTTGGCGCTGTATAAATACAACTGAATTGAACTGAAATTAAATTGTTGTTGTCTTCACAATAGCAGTCCTTCTTGACAGCTCGTTAAAATCTGTCACATTAGAGATCATATGTGTCCTAACCTTGCCTTTGGTTATCTCAGAATAAACTTCCTCTCAGTATCTACATAACAAAATCCACAAATGCCTGTGTGTACATGTCAAGGTCAAAGATTTGACTCAGATCAAAGTGTAAATGCTCCGTCTCATCCTGGAAAGGCTGTTAGTGCTGTCAGGGATCAAAACGCTGTCACTCTTATTCTTTTTCTCTACTTTACTTTTTTTTTTGTGAATTCCCTGCAAAGAAAACATACTGCAAATGCAATATTTGCTTTAAGGGTGTTTATTCTAAATCATCAGGGCCTTTGTATATAGAACTAAGAGAGGAACTATGGTATTCTAAAATTTTTCTGTGTGGAAATCAGGCGTAGCATAAAAGTCTGTTAGGTGGTGCAGGACATGTATAAGGACAGCAGTATTAAGGTGGAGTGTGGGGTAGGAGTGGCCTATGGGTTCAAAGTTGAGGTGGGATTACAGTGAGGATCACCTCTGACCCCTTCCTTGTGTGCAGTAGTGATGGACAAGTTGACAGGTGAGTTGGGTTTGTTGAATTAAATCTATAGTAGACTGATGAACCTGTCCAGGGTACACCTTGCCTTTCAGCTTATAGCAGGGATAAGTGGGGATAAAATGATACATAGAGTTTAACATTGTATCTATTCTTTCCAGGATCTGTTTGCACTGGACGTGGAACCTTACCGGTACAGTGGTGTAAACATGACGGGTTTCAGGATACTCAACACCGAGAACAGCCAGGTGGCTTCTATCATCGAGAAGTGGTCCATGGAGCGACTGCAGGCTCCACCGAAACCTGACTCCGGATTACTGGACGGCTTCATGACTGTGAGTTTGGACAAAGTTCATGAATGTACGATGAAGCACTTTGCCAGAGTTTTGTTCACTGACATGCAGATGTGGACCCATGGTCAGTTATTTATTGATCTTTCTCAGAAACTGTTGTCATGGTGAGGAAGGAAATGAATGATGACAGTAGGGGATTTCTTTGTTAATACAATTTGTAATTAAATGTGATGCCACAGCTGTAGACTTCAGACTGAGACAGAGGTACATTAATTTTGGCTGTTGATTGCTTCTTCAGTTTTGTCAGCACTCTAACCTTCAGTGTGATGATATGATGCTTCCTTCTATGCAAGCTTGAAGTTTTACTCACGATTCCCATGATTAAAAACTCTGTATAATATCTCCCAATTCTCCTGGTTGCATATCCATTTAAGTAGGAGAAATGCTTCAGTTGAGAGTCATGAAATTTGAACATTTATGTAACTGCATCTCATGCACGTATTTCTTACTGTGGTTGACCAGTTGGACAGTGGAAATAACCTTGTGATTTTCCCAGTGGTTTTCAGGCATCAAGTCACTAATGGCATAAAACAGTGTTCTGGAAATGATAGACTTCTCCATCCATCTTCTTCCGCTTTATTCGGGAGCAGCCTAAGCAGAGAAGCCCAGACCTCCCTCTCCCCAGCCACCTCCTCCAGCTTATCCG